TAATAAAAACCTAGAACATGAGTCAATAATGTGAATGCAGAGTAGAGGTAGCTTGAGATACACTTTACGAACAACAATAAAAATGTTGTAATGATGGTGAAGGAAGACTCCACAATGAATGTAAAGGATGACTATGGGAGTGATAAGGAGCATGAACAATAGAATACTGAATGTTAACGTGGGTGTGAAGGAAAAGAACCATGGGCTATGAAGAGTGAATACAAATGTGAAGTGAATCGGTACAAAGGATTAGTAAACAAAAGACCAATAGAAAACATTTTTTTAAGAAGCGCTTTGTAGTTATTTTTCTAAAAAAGTGATTTTTTCATGAGCGCCATAATAATTTTTTTAAAAAAATAATTATATTATAAAATCTTATAAATGACGCTTCTATTCACAAGTGTTGTCTATTTATTTTCATTAGAAAGCATTTTTTTAGAAAAGCGCTATAACATATTTTTTCATAAATAAAATAAAACAAAGATAGCATTTTTTTATATTAAATGCTCTCTATATTGAACCTTATTATAGCGCTTATTTAATTAAGCACTCTTTTAACGTTTTGTGTTTTAAAACACAACACTTATTAATTAAGCGCTATCTAAGTAGTGTTAGCTATTACCAATTTTGGTGTAGTTGGTGTCAAAGCTACTTCGTTTTTCTGAATACCATTAAATGCTTTCTTCAATCTACACCGATGACGATTACGATTAAGAAATCTCAAATGCCCAAGGTAAACTATTTTTCTTCCATGATACAATTATTGGTTGCATGTTTCATTTTCACACATAGGACAAGCTTTGCATCCCTTAACACTATAACCACTTAAGTTGCCATATGCTGAAAAGTCATTGATTGTGCAAAACAACATGGTACGTGTTTGCAGGGTGGTATCATTTATCCCATGGTGAAGGCCTAGGTGGGTTAAGTCACAATCGAAACACGTGGTGCTTGGGTGGTATCAATTGATTGTGCAAAATAACATGGTACGTGTTTGCTGGGTGGTATCAATTATCACATGGCGAAGGCCTAGGTGGGTTAAGTCACACATAGGACAAGCTTTGCATCCCTTAACACTATAACCACTTAAGTTGTCATATGCTGAAAAGTCATTGATTGTGCAAAACATGGTACGTGTTTGCTGGGTGGTATCAATTATCCCATGGCGAAGGCCTAGGTGAGTTAAGTCATAATCGAAACACGTGGTGGTTGGGTTGCTACGGTTAAGTAGAAAGAGTTGGGCCTTGACTATTAGCTATATCTTTTGGCCTAGTGATAAACGCTCGATCCAATAATTGGTATCAGAGCCAAGGTTGCATGTTCAATTCCCAACGAGAACAATTGCTAAGGGGGAGATTGTTTGTTGAGTGGTATCAATTATCCTGTGGTGAAGGCCTTGTTGGGTCAAGTCACAATCAAGACATGTGGCACTTAGGTTACTATGGTTAAGTAGAAAGAGTTGCGTCTTGACTATTAGCTATAACTTTTAGTCTAATGGTAAGCACTTGATCCAACAACATGCATCTTAAATTTTCGCTAGAAAATCCATCAAACACATCAAATCATTCCTTCCACAACATCCTCAAGCCTTCAACCAATGGACTTAGATAAATGTCAATATCGTTTCATGGTTGTCTTGAACCCGAAATCATTACATATAACATCACATATTTACATTTCATGTACAATCATGAAGGTAAGCTGTAAATCACTACTAAGACATATCATGAACTATGTTTACTGCTTAGGTTATCATATGGATTCGTTCCATCTTTAATAAGTCCAAGTCTACGGTCCATCTTTCTTCCATGCAAAGAACATGTTGAATGCCTCAACTGTCCATCTTTCTTCCATCCACTTGTGTACCACCTAATGTTTTTGGCATCATGGAAGTTAGTGAACAATTACTTTAATCTTAGAACAATAGGAAGATACCACAACACCTTTGTTGAAGGACCCTTGCTCCCCCTACTTTTAGAGTCAAATTCCTTCAATTTGTATTGTGATACCTCACACTGTGGATACTCATGTAAGCTATCAAACATTTTTTTTGTACAAAATGCAATCGTTGGGACATTCATAGATTTTTTTTACACTCCATACTCATCAGAAACAATATCTTTTTCGTATAATAATTACATGTTGCCAAAGTGCTACCTTCGATAAACATTTCACTCAACAACTCAAGTAATTATGTGAAATTTTTATTAGTTCATCCATTTTTTGCCTTAAGAATAAACAATCTTAATACCTTGGACAATCATGTAAAATTAAAGTAGTCTGAATATAAAGGTTTCTCCACATTATTACACAAACTATCATACAGATGCACATTTAAAAGAATCAGCCCCAATATCACGAATCATGTCCTCTAGTCGATAATCCATCTTTAAATTGAATTGTTATTTTTGTGTTTGACGCAATGGTACGTGAATTCACCATGTCATGCCCATACTGTATAGCTTTTTAGGAACCCAACACACAAAACATTCTCTCGTATAATGTCTACTAGATGTCTTTGCAAATTGAAATAATTTATACAAGGATAGTAGAATCTTCAATTACTGTCTGTAATACACGTTTGTGCAAATTGAAGAAACTCTTCCATTTCATTCTCATATTCAATAGTTGTGCATAAATAGTTCATCTAGATTTGATCCATTAGTGCATTCGATTGGAATAAATCGTGTCAACCTTAATTTTTAATACAAGGTGTGACCCTACTCATTTAGAAAGATAATTCTTTATACTAGATTAATACATAAAGGTAAAGTTTCATACATTAAATTTGATAATATTTCGCATTAGTTTATAAGTACATAAAATGAAAGTGGTGATATCAAATTCACGACAATAAAAAATGCATCCAGAGAACAATAAAAAATGCAATCAATTGATATTTTTTCAAATTTAAAATGAAACTTAACCTCTCTCAATATATATTAATCAACTATAGAAAAATATATCTTCCAAATTTTCTAAATGGACAATTCAAGATTCAATGCAATAATTATAAACTAATTTTTTAAGCATTGTATTTAATCTCAAATTGAAAATTAAGGTTCATCTATAATCGATCAATATTCCGAAAGACTACTCCCTCCGTTTTTTTTCATAGTCGTTTAAGGTTTTGCACGGAACTTAAGGAAATTATTGATATTTTAGTTTTCAAATATATTTATTACTTACTTTCCTATTTTACCCTTTATTTTTATTTTTATTTGCATTTTTTAGACTGTTGAACTACAATCTACTCTATTAATTATTAATGTTTTGATTACTAGTGAACTGTAACCTACTGTATTTAATTATACCTGTCCATGAATTAATGGTTATAGTTAAAGAGTCTTGTAAATAGTTGTCCCTTTTTTTGTTTTTTTATAGTATTTTGTTGGAAATATATTGCTCTTATAAATGCACATTAACTTTATATGGGTAGTTGGAGAAAAAATAGGTAGACATTAAAAATAAATACACACATTGTTCAGTAAACATGTATTAATTATCAAGGATAAAAATGGAGAAAAAAAAATTAATAAGTCATTGATTTTAGTAAAATGACAATGAAATAAAAATAACAAATTCTGACAAAATGACTATGAAAAAAAACGGAAGGAGTATAATATAAGACTTTGAAATAATTAAAATATATAATTATGCTTAATTTAAATTCATATATAAAATAAATAATATAATATACACATGTAATAAAACATGTCAACAAAACAAATTAAATTAATAATAATTAAAATATTATTTAGTTATTACTAACTTAATATTTGTAATTTGTGAACGCCATATAGTTTAATATGTACAAAAAACAATAAGTTATATACTATATGACCTTTATAACTTTTATGTAATAGTTTTCTAACGAATACCTTTTAAAATGAAAATAGTCTTGTGTGATAAAAAAGAACCCATACGATAATTAAGAGTTTAATTTTGATAGGAATAAGAATGTATATCAAGTAAAAATTAAAACACGAGCAGACATAATATCTTAACTTGGAATTCTACTATAGTCATTATTGAGAAAGAAAAAGCAGAAGAAAAATTTGATAGTAATTACGTGATTATTATTATTAAAAATAGAATGATAAATATATAGAATCGGACGGCGTAGGAAGCATCCATGCGCGGAAACACGGAGCCGCTGACGCCAAAGACATTGGAATCTCACCCTTATGCAAACAGAAAAGTTGAGTGGAAACACTCTCGCTTCCTCACATCTCTCTCCCACTTTCGCCAATCGCCACTATCTTAACCCAACCATAGTTAACCACCAACCCCACTTCTCCCAACAACTGCTCTACCCCTCCCTTATTTATATTCCTCCCCAATCCCCATTTCCATTCTCCAATCCCCTCCCTCACTATTTCTTAAAAATAACAAATTCTGACAAAATGACTATGAAAAAAAACGGAAGGAGTATAATATAAGACTTTGAAATAATTAAAATATATAATTATGCTTAATTTAAATTCATATATAAAATAAATAATATAATATACACATGTAATAAAACATGTCAACAAAACAAATTAAATTAATAATAATTAAAATATTATTTAGTTATTACTAACTTAATATTTGTAATTTGTGAACGCCATATAGTTTAATATGTACAAAAAACAATAAGTTATATACTATATGACCTTTATAACTTTTATGTAATAGTTTTCTAACGAATACCTTTTAAAATGAAAATAGTCTTGTGTGATAAAAAAGAACCCATACGATAATTAAGAGTTTAATTTTGATAGGAATAAGAATGTATATCAAGTAAAAATTAAAACACGAGCAGACATAATATCTTAACTTGGAATTCTACTATAGTCATTATTGAGAAAGAAAAAGCAGAAGAAAAATTTGATAGTAATTACGTGATTATTATTATTAAAAATAGAATGATAAATATATAGAATCGGACGGCGTAGGAAGCATCCATGCGCGGAAACACGGAGCCGCTGACGCCAAAGACATTGGAATCTCACCCTTATGCAAACAGAAAAGTTGAGTGGAAACACTCTCGCTTCCTCACATCTCTCTCCCACTTTCGCCAATCGCCACTATCTTAACCCAACCATAGTTAACCACCAACCCCACTTCTCCCAACAACTGCTCTACCCCTCCCTTATTTATATTCCTCCCCAATCCCCATTTCCATTCTCCAATCCCCTCCCTCACTATTTCTTTTCATGCGAGGCCCATTTCGCAAACAAGGCTTTCATTAATCTAAGGTCACAGTACCAAAATAGGCATGAGTTGCAACGGCTGCCGCGTCCTTCGAAAGGGTTGCAGCGACTCTTGCGTCTTGCGCACTTGTTTGCAGTGGATCCAAACCGCCGAGGCTCAGGGCCACGCCACTGTTTTTGTAGCTAAATTCTTTGGTCGTGCTGGACTCATGTCCTTCATTTCCAACGTTCCACAAAATCAAAGACCCGGTATTTTTTTTATTTTTTTTATTTTTTTTCTTTCTTTTATTATGTGGTAGAATATTCTTGAAGAACGCTCCTTTGCGTGCTCTCTATGCAGCTCTCTTTCAGTCTCTACTGTTTGAAGCGTGCGGGAGAACGGTCAATCCCGTCAACGGCGCCGTCGGCCTTCTCTGGACCGGCAACTGGCACGTCTGTCAGGCCGCCGTCGAGACCGTGCTCCGCGGCGGCGCGCTCCGGCCCATGCCCGACCTTATGGCTCTCCACGCTCCGGCTCTCGATGAGACATCCGAAGCGGAAGTTGGTTGCACCGACATTTGGAGGATCTCAGACACGAGTCCCAACCCCAACCCGAGCTCCTGCTTCACCAGGTCGCGTTCTCACGGCAAGGTCTCATCATCCGGCGGCGGAAAACGCCAGCGCTCGGAGGCTCAAGCGGCGCCGAATCTCGATCTCCGTCTGACGCCGGCTTTTCTGCAGAAGGTCGAGAGCCGCCGCTCTGGGTCACCCTCGATGACGTCGGAGGAGTCCGGCACGACGACGGCTTGTTTGGAGAGCGGATTTGGGGGTGACGGCGGAGACCGGAAAGTTCTCAATCTTTTTATTTGAGGACACTTTCTCTCTCTCTCTCTAACCTCTATGTGAGGGTTATGTTTTTTGTTGTATGGTGTAATAGTGGGTGGTGGGGTTCTTCCCGGATTTGAAATTCCGGCGAGTTTTAGTGAGAGTGATTCACCGGCACAGGATTTCTCTAGAGAGAAAAATGAGGGTTCGTCGGTGATCTTTCTCTTTTTTTTTTTTCTCTTTTTTTTTTAATCCCTTCCAAACATGAAATAGAAATATGTAAGCAGCCCTGTGACCGTGGGATATCATCGATATTGATATTAATATTAAATATGAATAAAGACTAGATACATCTTTTGCTGTTTTAATTTTCTCGAAAACATTTGGCAGAGTTCGATGTCGCAATTGTAAATGCATCTGACGATGAAAATAATTTTATTTATTGAAGGAAATCTCAGAGATTAATTAATGAAATCCGCTATTAGTATAATTTTAGGAAAATCAGGTGGTCGTACATTAATCTAAATTAAATTAAGAATTAATTATTCATATAACCTTGGTCACAAGCGTCGTACTTGACGTTGTGGAGAGGATTCTAGAGATGTTTGACCTATAGCTATACCACACCAATAGGGTGAGAGGTGGGAATGTGAATGTGGGATGGATGATAAAAAATGGAGCATGTTGGAACTTTGACGTCAGAAAAAATTGAGTAGTAATAACTGGTTGAAACAAGTTTATGATAAATATATAGTCAAAATGTCATACTATGAGGCTATGGTAGTAGGACAAATTCCAGCTACTGTGAATATGGTAAAAGTTACATTTAGTTTGGAGTAAATGAATATGATAACCGCGGATCCTGTGGTTTGTGAGGAGAGGTTAAAGAGTACTCAGGTAAATGAGTGATGGTAGAAAGAGAGAGGCGACTTTTGGAGAATGCAAAGAGGCGTAGGAAGAAGGAGAAGGAATCAAGGAAAAAGTGTTAAAAATTATTTGTAAATAAATAATGTAGGGCCTACAATAAAGCTGGTGTTTGCCTCTTGCGTAGGAGCGTATCGCTCCACCAATGGGAAAGCCAAAGTATACGGCTGGCGTCAGCGTCGAGTTTTAGCTTTCTTCATTGTGTGGTGTTGTCCAATTCTTACTTGTGGAAGGTACTAGTACAGTACCACTAGTAACATATTCATACATTCAATTTTCTATTTCTTCTATCATTATCTTCTAATTTAGCCGCTACATCATTTAACTGACACGTGTTTTATGTAAGCTTTTCAATTTGGATTTTGCAATGAAAATTTTAGTGGCAGTTAATTCTGCTTCGATTTAACCAAGATTAACTTGTATGAAAGATATCTTCCATTTAAACATTACATTATTATCTTTTAACGAGTTCTTACTCTTGCATTTATGAGCATATTTATACTATTATTATTCTCTCTTTTTTTTAAAAAAAAAAAATGGGCATGAGAAATAAAAAAAAGTGTTTTTAATAAAATATATATGTGCTTTCACCTATATAATTTTATTGTAGTTTTCAATAAAAAAAATTATTTATTAATTCCTTAATTATTTAAGACTTGGGTTAACAATATTTTTTTTTATAAACAACACGTATGTTTTTTTTTTTTTTTTATCAAAGTTGAAGATAATCATGTTTGAATCAAGTAAAATTATTTATTTTCGATGATAACACGCCTAAATACTTAATAAATTTATAATTTCATTATAACTCTTTCAAGTAAGGATATTTAAAAAATATTTTATCATAGTAACTTTTATAATTAATATTTTTCTTAAGACATACATTGTTTTAAAAGATATTTATTTTTCATGAAATAAAAATTATTTTTAATTTTTTTAAACTAGTCTTAAAATTTACGTTACCAAATTTGTTTATATTTTCATTTTGTAATTTTAATTTAATAAGATCATTATGCTTATTTTTGTAGATGATTGTTTTATAATTTTTAATTATTAAGCAATTAATTAACTTGGTGTCAAAAATATTATTAAGCTATTAACTTCTAAAAGATTAAAATTTAAATAAGTAAAATATAAACTGATATTTGAAAAACCATAAATAACTAGAAATTATATATATATCTTTGCGTACAATTTGTTGAATTACGTCTTTAACTTTACTTTTGTTTGAGAAACTCCTAATATTAATAAACCTTTTTTTGTTTGCTAATAATATCTGTAAACATTTATAATAATATGTCAATGAGGTTTGTATTGGCTCTAAGTTTGCATGAGGCTTTTTTTTTTGTTATAATTTTAAATTTTTTTAAACAAAAATACATATGTTTATATTGTTTTACCTTTTGGGTGTGACTTGCATTTATTCTCTGATTTTCAGAAACTAAAAGTTATAACTTTCATATTATAAATATGATTCTTTCACATTTTTTAAATATAATTTTTAATGTAATTATTAATTATAAATTTATTATATATCATAAACTATGATCAGATAATAATACCAATATATTTAACTAATTAGACTAATGGGTATTTTGTAAAGCAACCATAATATAAAAAGTTATGCATGGGGTTGAAATTATATTTTAAAACCATTGTTGACACCTAATGTAAGAGTTGAAGTTAGATTTTGAATCGATATGTTCCAGTGTTAGTTGCTTTGGTTTCTCCTCCACCAACTTAGCCAGAAGCATTACAATATTTTGGGAATCCCGGATAATAATAATCCAATGAAAATGCGGAGATAAGAAAAGTAAATGAAATCTCATTCGAAGTTGAGTTGAAAAGAAAGGAAGAACAGAACACAGAAGGCAACTAAGAAAGTGCAGAATATGGTTTTTCTTTTCTTTTTTATATTTCTGCGATGCTGCGTCTCGCCGCATTTGCCATGGGCCCCACGGAACCTTCCCCACTTTACATTGTGGAGCCCACATGTGCCTCAGCTTCCACTAATTGTTCACGACTCACGTCTCACATACACTCTCTCTGTGCGTCTCGTTTTCCTCCTTCGTGCCAATGACACTGCTCCCTAATTAACAATTCTTTCTTTTATACTCTCATCCACCATCCCCCAATTAATAACAATTCTTTACAACATCTTCGACCTTACCAAATCATTCAGATTTTTATCAAAAGAACATGGCATCCATAATGCAGAAACAAAGAAAAGCACCTGCAATGATAGAGAGGCCTTTTGGGTAATGACCAAAAGCAAAATCGTGAGGGCTAACGCCCAAAACGGACAATATCTCATCATTGTGGAGTATGTTTGTGTAATAACCTTATTAATAATAACACTCATAAAAATAACCCCCTCAGACAAATAACCATAAAATAACCCCATCAGTGGTATCAGAGCCGCAGGTTGGATTCGGTGACAACCAATAACCCCATAACCTCTCATAACTCATAACATATAATGTGATATATAAAGATACATTCCGCTGCATGAAAGGTTAGGTCCCTTGTTTGAGGGGAGGATTGTTATATAACATAAACATACTTCAATGATAAAGAGACCTTTTGGGTAATGACCAAAAACAAAACCGTGAGGACTAAGACCCAAAGTGGATAATATGTCATCATTGTGGAGTATGTTTGTGTAATAACCTCATAAAAATAACTATCATAAAATATTTCCTCAGACAAATACAAAAAAATAACCCCATCAGTGGGATAGGTAGGGTAGGTTGGGTACTATAGTACTTGTACCTACACTCACTAAATTTTGTGGGTCTACAACCACCCCATCCCCATCCCCATATAAGCGGGTATTTACCTGTCTCGCATGAGGGTATTTTTGTGGGTGTTTGTACAGTCTGATTTCATTTTACCTTCCCTACTTGGCGTGCATATTTAAGGTAATATAAAGTTGTAATTCAATATTTATATAATGTTATATATATATATATATATGTATAATATTAGATAGATTAAATTACACTACTGTAACTTTTATAATTATTACATCGTTCAATAATTTCATATAAAAAATAAATTTTATCTATCCAATCATTGAATTACAACTTTATAATATCTTAAATGTGTATGACGAGTTTTGTTAAAATTGAATAACAATAAGAAGACAATTAAATTGTTCATATCTTAGTATATTTTGAAATGTATATATTACTTTGATTTTGATTTATATAAATGCAGTATCAAACAATTTTTGATTAATATACAATTTTATATATATGATGTACTAGACATAATTTTTTTATCTAATGACAGATTTTAAAAAATAATCATTCAATTGAAAGTTATTAAGCATTGTAATTATTGTAAAATTTCACTTATTCCAAGAGTAACTCTTGACAGAATTACTTTATTTAATAATTCATGAATTACATTAAATTTTAATGATTTAACAGTTAAATCAATTTTTTTAATAAAATAGATGAAGTTTATAAATTTTTATAAAATTTAAAAATTATTTAATATTTTTTTCATTAAAATCAAATGGACAGATATTTATAACAACATATTGTAAGTCAATTTGTTGGTATTGAACAGATTTTAATGTTTTATTATAATTTAGATTACTAACATGCTTTCCACTGTCCAGCGAACAGTACGTAGCATACGATACAAATGTCCATATTAACTTTATTTTCCTGGGATACGTCACAGTATTATGTGATTTGTAGCTAATATGAATCATGGTGTGGCACTAGGATTCCTTGTAATGGGCAAGTTCCCATCATAAGTGCATTTGAAGACATCTGGTTTCTTTACGAGTCGGGGTCCAACTGGTACCTTGTTATTTTTAGGACGAATATCCTGCATCAACAAAAAATGATAAAATTGATTGTAGTCTACCATAACATGAAAATGTTTTAAATTATAATCCTTGAATCTGTGAATCGGGTATCCTAACAGGAAATATTTTATGATAGTTATTTTTATGAGGTTATTACACAAACATACTCCACAATGATGACATATTATCCACTTTGGGTCTTAGTCCTCACGGTTTTGTTTTTGGTCATTACCCAAAAGGTCTCTTTATCATTGAAGTATGTTTATGTTATATAACAATCCTCCCCTCAAACAAGGGACCTAACCTTTCATGCAGCGGAATGTATCTTTATATATCACATTAAGGAGTAGGAATGCAATTGATTAAGTAAGTTGCACGAGGTAGTGCGAAGCACCAAAAACTGAGTGGTAAAGTAGCTTGAAAAAGGAGAGCACGAGTTACATTTAAAAGATGTTGATGTTTACGTTCGTCTATACCATTTTGTTCATTTTTTTCAACGCATGTTGTTTGATTAACTATGCCTTTAGAGGTGAAAAAATCATGCATGAGAAATTCTGAACCATTGTTAGTTCGAATAATTTTAATTTTACTGTTAAATTGGGTTTCAATGTATGCAGTAAA